TACACCGAAAATCGCTTATGCCTGCGTAAATCGTTTTACTCCAGACTGCTTTCTGAACGAGGGTTTTGCTAAAAAGTTAAAACTCAAGGATGGATCAGTACCCACTGTTCGTGATCCAGCTGCACCTCCAGAAGAAGGAAGAGAGGGGCGGGGTGAGCAGAGCTCATTAGAATTTAAAGAGACATGCACCGAAACAGGTCGCTCTGAAGAGAGCCGTATTTGACAAGCTAAAACGGGTGTTGTTTTACACATGACCACTGAGGAATTTTAACCAAAGTATGTTGCTGAAATTTCATGAAGACCTTAAAGAATACTAGCAGCTTGTGGAAAGTGGGCATCCGATGTTCCCTTTAAGAGATTTGTTTCCTAAAAACACACAGCTTTTTTGCTTTACAAGATATTAACTGATGGACTGAAGGACTATTCTTTTCATCAGGCTAACATGTTTTATACTCCTTCCTCTTTCAAAGCCACCAGCTGTCTTTTAGCATATGATTCAGACATTGAGAATATGTGGTTGCTCACTGGGTAAATTAAGCACACTTCATCAGGGAGTTATTAAATAAATAACAATCCATGTTTATTACACCCAAGCAAGCCATTTACTACTGTTAACATTACTGATTATTTAAAAACAATAGCTTAAAAAATTATAATAACAATCTGAATATTTCAGCACAGCAATCTCTCTCTTTCTCAGTCTGCCGCCTGGTCTCGAGTTTGTTCATAAATTACAACTGTTCATCATTCGAGGCAATTTGGTGTGTAATATCGTGGCTTTGATAGAGCTGCTGACTAATTGATGGATTACTTTATTTTCAAATAGCGGAAACTGCCAAGCCAGAGTTGCGGTAGTAAATCTCTCAGAAATGAAAGAAACCATCACATTTACCCTGGACTTTAATCAGCGTCTAATGCAAGAGTTTATTCAGAGGCGCTCCATCAGCCCCATTTTACACGGCTGATAGTTACAGGAAAGAATTTGTCATTTCTGACACACCTGCTGAGACACCCCAGATTCCTCATAACAGCCACAGATTTAAGAGTGTTATTAGTATAAACAAAAATTTTCATGTAACTATTCAGAGAGATTTGAGAGGCTAATATTATAAATTGTATTAAATGCTAGAATTAAATGCCAGCAGCTTGGATGAATCCTAATGAGTATTTTTTAGGGACAAAAATCTGCAGAATTAGGCCTATTCAAAATAGATTTAAAGATGCAAATAGATATTTCATTGTGCTATTTTATAGAAGGAAGACAATGCAGAACTCACATGAATATCACAGTCAAGGAGAGACAGACTAAAGCTCTTTAAAATTCTCAAAACAGTGGGAAGTGGGTCAGACTGATTTCAGAACGTATGCTAAAATGCCAGAATAAATATGGAAATAAAGAACATGATTGCAACAACAGATGGCAGAAGTTTGGCTTGTTTAAAAAGAGCAGCATACCCAGAGGAGTTTCACTATTTCAGTTTCATTATTATTTCATAGCTGGGGTTAAGAACTGGGCATGATAGATTAGAAAAACATGTATCTCCAGAACTGCATTAGCTGTGCATTTTCACACAATTCGTGTCTCCATCTCTCTCCAACACACTCAAAGAATTGCTCTCTGTAACTGTATGAAGCCACTAGCAAAAAGTGAGTGGGCCTTTTCAATTCATTCATATGGGAGTTACATGGCAGGACTGCACTAAGGACTGTTATAGAGGACCAAGCCTGCAGAAATTAAAAATAAATAAACAAATATATAGATTAATTAATAAATAAAATAACAGTAAAATAAATAAATAAATGGCTTGATAAAAACAAATACAGTTCATTTGTAACTAAATTTAACCCTGAATTTATTTTTTACCACTTTTTTCCTTGATGTATTTTTCCTATGTATTATTATTTTATGCATTTATTTATTTTTATTCTTTTTAACTTTTATTTACTTATTCTCTCATTTATTTTTATATTTAATTTATTGATTTATTATTTATGTCTTTATTTTTAAATGCATTTATTCATGCGTTTATTTATTTATTTTTATTTCATTTATTCCCACATGTATTTATTTCCAGGTTTATTTATTCATTTATTGTGCAACATGGAAATGAGGGAGGTGGTCCTTGCGGAGCTCCGTTGAATCATTGCGAAACTTGCGAATATCCAACGTCCAACGTCAAGCCAACTTTATGCCAGTGGGTCACATTTCCAAACCTTTGATGCAACTGGTTTACAATAAACTTAGGCTCACAATGTTTTGGGAGTCTTTTCTCTGTGATTACAAAATGAACACAAACCTTAGAAACCTCCACTGAGTGCGTCTAGAGTAGGGCTGCACGATAAATCACATGCAATATTTAATGCGCATCTTGTCAGTAAAGCCAGTTCTGTAATCAGCGGTAAATCTCCATCACGTGCGTGCTTTCACATTGAGCAGCATTAACTACACAGAGCCGTTGTTCACTGACGAGCTGTGCAAAAAATTTCGCGAATATGAACGTGGTTTTGCGCAGCTTGTCAGTGAACAACGGCTCTGTGTAGTAAATGCTGCTCCATGTGAAAGCCCGCAGGTGATTTACCGCTGATTGTGTGCCGTGTGACCGCCCCTTAATGGCAGCGCTTTGAATACACCCGGCATCCTAGTTTTCCTCATCTACTTTGTGATCAACAAACAAACAAAAAAATTAGGGCTGCACGATAAATCGCATGTGATTGTCATGCACATCTCATCAGTAAAGCCAGCTCTGTGATTAGTAGTAAATCTCCATCACGTGCTTTCAGATGGAGCGGCATTTAATACAGAGCTGTAGATCACTGACAAGCTACGCAATATCGCGTTCATAATCGCAGATGAATCGCATTCAATTATTAATGCGATATTGTGTAGCTTGTCAGTGTTTTTATTAATGCCATTAATGTTTTTGGAACATGAGTATCGGCAGGTCACACTTCCAAAAAAATCGGAATCGGCCAAGAAAATTGCAATCGGTGCATCTCAAATATATATACAGTGTGTGTATATGTCTTTACAGTCACTTTTAATAGAATGCATCCTTGCTGGAAAAAGTTTTAATTTCTTGACCTCAAACTTTTGAACAGTAGTGTATCTTTACTTTAACTATAAATATTGTGTTAAACTAACAGATATTAAATTAACACAATATTTGTATTTAATGTAAACATACACAGCCATGCACTAAAACCAATTAGATTTCAAATTGACAACCAATACCCGTGCTGAACATTTACACCACCAAAGTGGCAAAACAGGTGTTTTTGGTGATACCAAGCAGATTTCTTCCACACCACTGGGCACATTAGGTTAGTCATATCAGATGGGACACGTGGGTGGGTGTGTGTGAGAAACACTAGAGGTTTCTCTATAGCTCTGATGAGATAAAGTGAAGAGTGTTCCTACAAACTCAACATAACATCACATTTTTCCCAAATAAGTTACCAGCTGAGGACCCAGAGCTGATCTGACCACTGTTCACAAGCGCCCGAGGTAGCCCAACTTGTCAGCTGTTCCTAATTTCTGCAATGCAGCAACCCATTCAACACGTCTGCGTGAAGGCGATCATGAGCGCGGCTCACTTTCTGGCAAAGAGCGCCCCTCTATATAAGTAATAACTACTAACACCCTATTTGATTATAATTTTTTTCTTACTATTTATCTGTCACTTTTTGTTTGCTCTGGCATTGCTGCATGCAAAACAATGATGACAATAAAGTATTTTATAGTTGAATTTAATGGAAATTTGGCCTACTCCAATAACTGCTGTAGTTGATCACTCTTTTTCCTTAAGTTATTATTATTATTATACTTAACAATAGTTTTATCTATTGTTAACTGTGATGTTTGGGTGAATGTCAGATTTTCTCATAATGTCTTTCAGGCAGCGTTTATGATGGATAAGATTTATTGTTAGTGCTTGATTGCATGCGATAATTCACAAATGAATAAACAAGCAATTTCTCTCTCTCTCTTGCTCTCTCTCTCTTCTTTCACTTCATTTTATCATTCTTTATATAACACCCATTGTGTCATTCTGTGAAGGTCAGTGTGAGAGTGGGTAGGTGGCAAGGGTTGTGTGTTTTCCCCTAATCCATGAGGTTATAGGAGTGTTTTTGGATGCATTTGTTCCTCTTCCAATTCAGGCTCTGAAGGGAGACATGAATCAGCTCTGACCACTGTTCACAAGCGCCCGAGGTAGCCCAACTTGTCAGCTGTTCCTAATTTCTGCAATGCAGCAACCCATTCAACACGTCTGCGTGAAGGCGATCATGAGCGCGGCTCACTTTCTGGCAAAGAGCGCCCCTGCAGCGCCACACTGCGCGTGCGCACAACAACGGCCCACTATCTGGCAGGATGCGGGAAGTGTAGACGGCGCATGCGCCCTAAGATCCTTCCATCCACAATCAATGCGGGATCAGTATTTAGCAAGTCCTGTGTCACTGATACCCAGGCCTCTGCCCAAAAACAACTTGCAAGCATTTACAACAATACTCGAGTGCTGCAGTCAATGTGACAGGCCACCTTAACCTAAAACACATCTTTCAAAAGCATACCGGGCGTTTAACATATGTCCGTACAAAACACACTTAGTGAAAAGAAATAAAGTAAACACAACACACTGAAGCAGGTGGAAGAGCAAGTCTGCTCATTTATAACATGACAGTTGTCATAAAAATCACTAATTTGATTACAAACTCTCAGTCATTCGTAGGTTAAAATGTTCCACTATCAATACACAGAAATGCTTCGCTAAAAATCACATTACATAGCTGTAATATAAGAGTCATAAAGTAATAAGGCTGGCAAGCGCAACAAGAGGCTAAGCTAGTTAGCACCACAACAGCAGCCTGAAACAAGCGCAAATATAACCGACACAGATCCTCTAAACGCGCTGGTTTCACTCTTACGAGGCTAATTGAAAGCTGAAACCGAGATACGTGACTTCTCCTGGTGTGTTGTGGTGTGTTTGAGTTTATACACTTACCTTTGTTTTGAAGGTAAGCTGTTTTACCGTATCGGATATTTGTCTACGGAGCGGCTTCACGTCCGGGTTATCTGAATGACGGAGGACGAGCGCGCGCTGTGCAGTAGCTGTCACGCCAGTGTAAATATCAGTTTAATATCATAATTACTATTTTAAAGCACAGACTCATATACTTCTGATTTCATGTCATCTGGGGGTTTCAGTCAAATGTATGAGAGGAATATAAATAGCAGTCTAAGAAATTTTCTTTTTATATCAAAGTGTGCTCCGTTTTAGTATATAAGTAATAACTACTAACACCCTATTTGATTATAATTTTTTTCTTACTATTTATCTGTCACTTTTTGTTTGCTCTGGTATTGCTGCATGCAAAACAATGATGACAATAAAGTATTTTATAGTTGAATTTAATGGAAATTTGGCCTACTCCAATAACTGCTGTAGTTGATCACTCTTTTTCCTTAAGTTATTATTATTATAGTTAACAATAGTTTTATCTATTGTTAACTGTGATGTTTGGGTGAATGTCAGATTTTCTCATAATGTCTTTCAGGCAGCGTTTATGATGGATAAGATTTATTGTTAGTGCTTGATTGCATGCGATAATTCACAAATGAATAAACAAGCAATTTCTCTCTCTCTCTTGCTCTCTCTCTCTTCTTTCACTTCATTTTATCATTCTTTATATAACACCCATTGTGTCATTCTGTGAAGGTCAGTGTGAGAGTGGGTAGGTGGCAAGGGTTGTGTGTTTTCCCCTAATCCATGAGGTTATAGGAGTGTTTTTGGATGCATTTGTTCCTCTTCCAATTCAGGCTCTGAAGGGAGACATGAATCAGCACCAGCAGATGTTCATGAAAAAATTACTCTGTAAAAAAATCAAATAAAGATGAAAAAGAGTTGGAAGGAAGAAAAAAGGGAATAATATTTAAAAACTCAAGGGAAAGAGAAAAATATGCACAGCCTCACAAACCATGAATGTCACTGTTTGTAAACCTAAACGGACGGCTTAAACTCACTGTTTGCCATAGAAGCTTTGTAAATGTGCCTGCCTATATCATAAAATAAAAACATAAAACTTTTCATTATTGTTCTTTTATTCCAATAATAATTGTATCTTTTCAGTTTTATGTGTTTTGTTAGTTATTTTTTCTTCATGGCTATGTAAAGCTCTGTGAATTATTGCATGAACTGTGTGATATTAATAAACTTGCCTTGCCTGTGTTCATTTAGCAATATTTTACTCAAATGATCTGTTTTTGATGGTGGAGCAAAAATAAACAAAAAATCTAGACACGCACTCATAAAATGAAAACCAGCATCTTACCTCTTCCCATTGTTAGTTCTTTCGGCATCCCTCCTCCTCCCCTTCTCCTCCTTTTTTGTACAATTTTGCTTGTTATAGGGGGGCAATCGGAGCTCGAGTAGAATATCATCTCTGAGCCCCTCTATAGCAGACAGCAAGCCAAATCTGTTTACCACTTAGACTAAGATTATATAGGCACACGAACTCGTGAATTTGTATATATTAAAATATATTTTTTATTTAATTTTATGAAAGAAATATCACAGGAGAAAGTATCTTTACTGAACTGAATATCAGTATGGCTGTGATTCGGCTGTGGCCTTGAGGTGCAGGTAATCAGCTGTGATGATATTCTTAATTGTTTTTTTGTCCCCCTGAATGGTGACTCAAACATTTGCCACTCTTCATGACAAGAAGTTAGCCTACTCTTATGATCCCATTAACTGCGGTAATTGTATTGAACTAGAGTTCTTGTTACCTGAATGCTGTTTAGAGTTCTCGGTTGTTAATATGTGACACCAATTAAAGCGTGCCAGGCCAGTGTATCCAATCCACAAATGACACAGTGTTGACAGTACTTGACACTCTCACAGCATTAGTTGAGGGTGTTTTACAAAAGTGAAAACCACGTTACTGCAGAGCTCAAACACCAAGTGCACAGCTGAAATGTTCATGCTATCAAGATTAATGTAACAATGTTTTGATATTCATAATGTTTAATCATTTTTTTTATATCATTAAGCATCTATTTGAATCAACATGAATCAAACTGGTCTATGTTTATTTTCTTAATATACATTCCTGCCCCTTGGTCTCATTGGTGCATATTATTGCAAAGAAAACAATATCTGTTTTCTTAATATTTCATCAAAACATAATAACTTGCTTTGTTTCTCAAATTACTTTCCGTTTTCAGCTGACAGTACCAAGGAGGTCTATAATACTTGGAGATAGCTATCCGTTGGCATTCCCATTCATCTCAATTCCAGTTCTTTGGCTGTCTGCAGTCTTTTCTCATGGACATTCAGTTCTGGTGACTTTTTTAGCCAATCACCTGAGCCATTAATGTCACGTGACTAACTATTCTAGAGCCACAGAAAAATGATGTCCTGGGTTGTGTTTCCCAGGAGCAATATTAGCTAACTATGGTTGTAGCAAGTTCCACTAGCATATAGTTCTACCTTTCATCTTTCATTCCATTTAAATATTTATACATAATATCATATATATACATGTACATCATATCTTATATCTACAGTGAGTACGGAAAGTATTCAGACCCCCTTAAATTTTTCACTTTTTGTTATATTGCAGCCATTTGCTAAAATCATTTAAGGGGGTCTAAATACATTCCGTACCCACTGTATATACTTTAGCATATCAACAATTGAGGGAACCTTGGAGTATGACATAAGAGGGAATCCATAATGAATCAAACATAAAATAAAGCAAAACGACAGGGTTTAAAAATAGTTAAGTAGTCCTCAGACGCCTTGTTCATTACAGCAACATTTTGGAGAAATTACATTGTGGAGGAAGCTGCTGACTGAATGAATCGCATATATAGCCTATGGGGGTATGCCAATTACATACCACTTGTAAACAAGATTATGAATCGCAATGAACGACCTTCTGTTGTTTTGTGTAAATGAATGCTGCATTCCCTTCTAACGTCCTAAACCCGGTTAAGCCTCAAGAGAGAGAGCTTCGAAGGGTGTAGGTAGGGGACCAAAGAGCTGTTCCTTGGGACAGACATCTGTGTCTTTTTTAATCACCAATTAAAAAAGGCGCCACCATTGCACAATTAAACCTGTGCAAAGAATCATGGGAATGATGTGCCCATCAGTTGTGTCTTTCTAAACCTTTCATTCCAAAGGGCCCTTTGAAGGGGCCGTTTTTGAGCACTTTGGTTTGGAACAAGCCTTCAGTATGGTGGGTATGACTGTTCTCAATCCAAAGTGCTCTTGAGTGGTGAATTTATCCTGTTTGGAAAGCAGAAAAATTCACCAACGATGCATCATATAGCAGATAAGTAGTGAGTTATGTCATTGTGCAGAAAGAAAACCTGATTGGCGGATGGCACCACAAAAATGCACACAATCTCCTATCTAGATATATCTCCTCACTATAGCAACTCTATTGAACAGTGACATTAGGGGCAGCAAGGCTATGCAGGAAAAAAGCCCTCTTTGTCTTGCTGACAAAAATAATAAAATAAAAAAATTTGTCAGAATGCAAAGCTAAATGAACATCAATGGAGATAGATGTTATTTGCCCACAATAGTATAATTGTGGCATTATGCTAAACTAGACAAACCTCAACATTACCAATCCTTTTTATTTTTCCCAGACCACTTGGTTCCATTTTGGTATGTATTCACAATACAAATAACAATAACGAAGAACTGGGATTCAATCAATTCCCAAAGGACCAAATCATGTCCCACCCTACATTTTTTCTCATTAAATATTCTGTTTCACAAAATACCCACATTATGGAATAAAAATGGGTAGCAAATACAGTTTTATGCTGACTATAAGCAAAAAGGGTCTTTCTGATTCTTTGTTGGTCACTAGTCCCAGCTACTCTGTACCCTGTGCGTGTGTTTGTGTGCAATTATGGTGTAATTAAAGCAGCGGTACCCTCATACATATTAACCAGGGAATATGTGCATGATTTACACACACACATTTCCAACCCATGTGTCTGTGTATCACTTACCATTCCATTGCCCCCTCCAAAAATAATTAAGCATCTTCAGAGAGGAATTGGGTTACCTGCACATTACAGTGAGAGATGTAAGGCTAGCTTACACTGGGGACACTGGGGAGGAATGAACACTGGGTGAGAGATGATAATTATGGGAAGAGAGAGAGAGATGAGAAGGACGGCTCATCTCTGATGCACAGACCCACCTAGACATCAGCACCATCCAGTTACCATGGTAAAATGCTTTATAGTTTGTCTGTTTATGGACCTTGGTCAGGGACACCATATTTAATTTGACATGAACAACAACGAGGCTCTTAGAGGTAGAGGTACATTGAATTCACAGGGTTGTTTTGTCTTAAAGTCCATATACAATTAAAATGTGAGTTTTTGACAGGGTTTATTTTGTGACAAAATACTCTACATTATGGTAGCAAATAAATAAGTGCACATAAAATATTGATTTGAATTCATATTATTTTGTAAATTTACCTGCATATGATCCGTAAAGTTTCCGCTAAGAAAACAAAATAGTCCATTACAATGTACAAATCAGCCAAGCAACAAGACACACACTGCAACAATATTACAGTGATATTAATAATTTAGTTCTCTGAGGTCATTTTTGAGGAGGCATTTAAATGAGAACTAAAAACAGAATGCTCATTCATTTACATGACAACAACGTTTTGGGGGCCTGAAAATGCTAACTTTGAAAACTTGTGAATTTGTGAAAATTTGTATTTAATCTATAGGTATTTGCAGAGGAGCGTAGTGTTTGTTTACAAAGTGATATCAACAACTACTGGCCTGGCGAGCAGCATTTTTAGTCATTTTCGCGGATCGGTGTGAACAAGATCGGTTTGGTTTTGACAATGTTGTTGTCTATTCGTAAAACTTTTTAAAAACCCAAAAGAAACCTTTTCTGTTTTTAGTACATTGTTCTCATGTAAACGTACCCTCATATAGGCCTACAAGATGGTGCTGGTTCAGTTTGTTTGAAACAATAAAGTGAGTCGGCAATTTGATATGAGAAACATGGAAGTATTGATAAGTCTGGTCCTTC